CCCTGAAGCCCTGAAACCCCTTGAATTCACTGAAAGCCTTGAAGCCCCAAACCCGTGAAACCTTGAAACTCCAAACTCCTGAAGCCCTGAAGCCCTGAAGCCCTGAAGCCCTGAAGCCCTGAAGCCCTGAAGCCCTGAAGCCCTAAACCCTAAACCCCAAACCCTGAACTCCTCAGGGTTTCAGCTGAGGGTTCTGCTCATCCACAGACTCTGTGGACACAACGCTAGTTGCTCACAACCCCAAGCCACAAACCCCATACACCCTAAACCCCATAACCCCCAAATCCCATACACCCTAAACCCTAAACCCTACACGCTAAACCCTGAACCCAAACCCCATACACCCTAAACCCTATAACCCCCAAATCCTATAACCCCTCGTAGCCCTAAACCCTAAACCCTAAACCCCCCTAAACCCTAAGCCTCCAGCGTTGGGTTCCTGGTAACTCCGAATCAGCACATAGAGGGATCGTTCCACACCAGAACCATCCCTACAAGCCCTTTTAGGGTTTAGGGTTTAGGGTTTAGGGTTTAGTGTTTAGGGTTTAGGGTTTAGGGTTTAGGGTTCAGGGTTCAGGGTGAGGGTTTATGGTTTCAGGGTTGCCAGGTTCATGGGTTTAGGGTGTCCTGACATGCTAAAAAGCTAAACCCTAAACCCTGAACCCTAAACCCTAAACCCCAAACCCTAAACCCTAAACCCGAAACCCTAAACCCCAGAAGGCGCCTCAGCACGAGGGCAAGCGCGCGTTGCATCAACGCGGCCAGGCCCTGTCGTACCTGTTGGGTTTCAGAGCAACTCTGGGTCTTAGGGTTTGGGGTTGAAGAGTTTAGGGTTTAGGGTTTAGGGTTTAGGGTTTAGGGTTTAGGGTTTAGGGTTTAGGGTTTAGGGGTCTCGTAAGGGTTCAGAGTTGTGTTTTTTGCAGGGTCTTAGGGTTTGGGGTTGAAGAGTTTAGGGTTTAGGGTTTAGGGTTTAGGGGTCTCGTAAGGGTTCAGAGTTGTATTTTTGCAGGGTCTTAGGGTTTGGGGTTGAAGAGTTTGGGGTTTAGGGTTTAGGGTTGAAGAGTTTAGGGTTTAGGGTTTAGGGTTTAGGGTTTAGGGTTTAGGGTTTAGGGTTGAAGAGTTTAGGGTTTAGGGTTGAAGAGTTTAGGGTTTAGGGTTGAAGAGTTTAGGGTGTAGGGTTAAGGGTTGTAGGGATGAGGGCTTGGGGAGTTGCAGGGTTTAGGGTTCTGGAGAATGCGAGTCTCGGGTGCATAGTGTTTAGTAATTCCCTAAACGCTAAACCCTAAACCCTAAACCCTAAACCCTAAACCCCAAACCCTAAACCCTAAACCCTACCCAGTGCGGGCCTTCGGCGGCCGCCTCGCGGCCCAGTGCGCTAGCCATGCGCCCGCGGCCTCGACATCAACTTTAGGGTTTTGTAGGGTTTTAAGGTTTAGGGTTTAGGGTTTAGAGTTTGGGGTTCGGGGTTTAGGGTTTAGGATTTGGGGTTTAGGGTCCCTGGCTATGGGCTTTTCATGGAGGAACGCTTATCTGCCCCTTGTTTTTCAAGGAAACTTAGGGGCCCGTAGATCAGAACCCTTTTAAGAAGGTGACCCTAAGGCTTCATATTTTAGGGTTTTTGGGGTTCAAAGGCCTAAACCCGAACGCCTAAACCCTGAACCCTAAACCCTTAACCCTGAACCCTAAACCCTAAACCCTAACCCTAAACCCTAAAGAGGGGGCTTTATCATAGGGCTGAGGCTGCTTGAGACTCAGATTTCAGGCCTGCTTGTACGTAGGGTTTAGTTCGGGCTTGTTAGAGCTGCTCGGTTTTGGGCATCGAGGGCTTCTTCAAGCAGGGGCGGCTCCTTGTGCACAGGTCACGCAGGCACCCACCCCGGTTGAGATGCTACTGCTAGAGCGTTGAAAACCTCGACGCAAAACCCCTAAACCCTAAACCCTAAACCCTAAACCCTAAACCCTAAACCCCTTACACCCTCGAGCCGAGTTCGCGAACTTCTGGGCCCTAAACCCCGAACGCCCAACGCTTATAGGGTGGTCGGCCTTTCCGCCGCCGTCGCACTCGGACACGCTTCGGAGGACTGCGCGCAGCTCCTTGGAAAGGGGCTTGGGATGAAGGAACTTAGGACTGTGGGTTTAAGGTTTAGGGTTTAGGGTTTAGGGTTTAGGGTTTAGGGTTTAGGGTTTAGGGTTTAGGGCTTAGGACGAAGGACTTAGGATTTCGATTGGATTCAGGTCACAACCCTAAGACCGATGCATAGAGCTGCCGACCCCTGAGCCCTGTGAAGTTGCCATGTAACTTATAGGAAAAGGAGGCTTCAATTTAGGGTTCCGCAAACCCTAAACCCTAAACCCTAAACCCTAAACCCCCCATCCCCCAATCCCCCACCCGTCAGCCTCTGCCGTGCATTTGCCGGGCCGGAGGGCAGCCCGTTGCACAGGGCCCAACCTTGGCTTAGGGCTTGGGGTCTATAGGTTTAGGGTTTAGGGTTTAGGGTTTAGGGTTTAGGGTTTCGGGTTTGGGGTTTGGGGTTTGGGGTTTGAGGTTTTGGGGTTTTGGGGTTTTGGGGTTTTGGGGTTTTGGGGGTGAGGGTTTGGGGTTGAGGGTTTGGGGTTTGGGGTTTGGGGTTTAGGGTTTAGGGTTTAAGGTTTGGGTTTTTGGGTTTTTGGGGAATTGGGGTTGAGGGTTTGGGGTTTAGGGTTTGGGGCTTCGGGTTTGGGGTTGAGGGTTTGGGTTTGAGGGTTTGGGGTTTGGGGTTTAGGGTTTGGGGTTTAGGGTTTGGGGTCTAGGGTCTGAAGAGTGTTTGGGGCTTAGGCGTTGGGGCTCAGGTTTGGGTCTAAGTTTTAGGGTTTCGGGCCAAAATTATCCCAATTCCCCAAAAACCCAAACCCTAAACCCTAAACCCTAAACCCTAAACCCTAAACCCTAAAGCCCAATTCTAGGGTGCGGGGAGTACGGTGCCTTGAGCTTTTGGGCTCTGGAGTGTGCAGGGTTCCGAAAGGGCTTGGGGGTTTAGCCCTTTTGGGTCTAAAGGTTCCCTGACCTTTTGAGGGGTTAGGGTTTTGGGTTTGGGGTTTAGGGTTTAGGGTTTAAGGTTTAGGGCTTAGGGTTTAGGGTTCAGGGTTTTCAGGGTTTTGGGTTTGGGGTTTAGGGTTTGGGGTTTAGGCTTTGGGGCTTGGGTTTGGGTCTACGGCTTAGGGCTTCGGGCATGAGCTTTAGGTTGCGGGGTTTACGGTTCTTGGGGCTGTTGGGCTGCAGTGTGTGTTCACTGTTCCGAAAGGGTTTAGGGGGTTTAGGGTTTAGGATTTAGGGTTTATAGAGGGTTTAGGGTTTAGGGTTTAGAGGTGGGGGATTGGGGGGGGGTCCATAGGTTCTCGAGTCTGTTGAGGGGTTTAGGGTTTAGGGTTAGGGTTTAGGGTCTAGGGTGTAGTGTGTAGTGTTTAGCGTTTAGGGTTTAGCGTTTGGGGTCTAGGGTTGCATTTTTCCTCGCTTCGCGGAGAAAGCCAACGTCCAAAGAAGCTCGAAGCACTTTCACGGCCAAGGGTTCCCACTCCCGTAAACCTTCAACCCTGCACCCTAAACCCTATAAACCCTAGACCCAGGACATAATAGCTGCGGGAACCCAGCTCCGTGCGCTTAGAGGAGTGGAGCCCTTCGTCAATGTACAGGGTGCAAGGGATTCGGGTTTATAGGGTTTGGGGTTTCGGGTTTAGGGTTAGGCTTTATCGGGGTTGTAAATCGGGTCTTTTGGGTTTAGGGTATTTAGGGTCTTTGGGGTTTGAGGGTGGTCAAGGCCTAACGCAAAAAGCTGTAATTTAAAGCCTGGTGCGCAACCCTCACACTGCACCTGTCCCACACAGATGCGAGTTTCCACAGGCGACCTTCCCTTGGGTTTGGGGTTTAGGGCTTAGGGTTTAGGGTTAGGGTTTAGGGCTTGGGGCATCGGGTTTAGGATTTAGGGTTTAGGGAGTATACCTGAAAACCGAACACTTCATGCTTGTAAGCCGAGGAGACATAGCAAGAAGATCAAATCCTATGAGGTCCCACCAGTCTACTGAACCCTGAACCCCTAGAACCCCCTTGCCCTAAACCCTAAACCCTAAACCCTAAACTTCAAACCCTAAACCCTGAGCCCCAATTCCCTGAACTCTAAATCCCGAACTTAAAATCCTACAAGCCCTCAACGAACCCCTTCACCTCCCTGAAGCCCCACCCACAATTCCCAGAGTTTAGGGTTTAGGGTTTAGGGTTTAAAGGTTAGGGTTTAGGGTTTAGGGTTTAGGGTTTAGGGTTTAGGGTTTAGGGTTTAGGGTTTAGGGTTTAGGGTTTAGGGTTTAGGGGGCCCTAAACCCTAAACCCTAATCTTGCAGTCCCTGGAACAGGGAGCTCCACCCCTCAGTCTGTACAGCCGCGTGCTGTTCCACACTTGGGAGTCGGCGCGAACCCGAGTTGTTCGGCTTCTTCCGGGTCTAGAGGGTCGAGGGTTTGGGGTTTAGGGTTTGAAGTTTAGGGTTTAGGGTTTAGGGTTTAGGGTTTAGGGTTTAGGGTTTAGGGTTTAGGGTTTAGGACTTGGGCGTGAAGTTTAGGCTTTCGGGTTCAGGGCACCTAGGGAACTAGATCTCGAGTGAAGGCTGAACTCTGTAGCAGGATATGCGGTTTAGGATTTCGGGGTTTGGGGTTTAGGGTTGCGGGAGGTGTTCGCCTGCACGCCCAAAACAACAAAATGCCACAAACGAACCAAACGCCCTGCACTTTTCTTGGGTTTTTATAACTTTTATCAGGGTTGTCTCGTGCCCAGCCCTAACCCACGATTCACACAGATGTTAAACTAGGTTGGCCCCTGAAAAGATTCTTACATATGATCCTCTTAACTTGAACCCCCAAGAGGGGAAGCAGAAAACATCCCAAGGTCTTCCTAAACCCTAAACCTTCAACCCTAAACCCTAAACCCTAAAGCCTAGAAGAACTTCAGACGGTTTGGGGACTTCGGGTTGAAGGACTAGGCTCGCACCGGTATCGCCGTCTTGCTCAGGTAGCCTTTGACCGCTTGGATGGGCACCTCTCAGGCAGCTGCCTCTAAGGTACCCGAAACCCGAAACCCGAAACCCTAAACCCTAAACCCGAAAACCCGAAACCCTAAACCTTAAACCCTAGCCCTAAACCCTCAACCTTGTATTTGGGAGGGGGGAGTGGGGATGCTCAAATGGAGCCTACACCCCAATCCCTGATACCCCGTACCCTCAGGCCTAAACTGAACCCAGTTGGTTCGTCTCTAAGGGTAGTTTCAAGGGGCCCTTAACATGGTCCCTCACCCTCTTTCAAGGGCCCTTGGGTTGTAGAGGGGCGAAAAAGGGGTATTTAAGGGGTCCCATTTAAGGGCCCAAATGCAGAGACCACGTAACTACCCTTACGTAGTCTCATGAACCTCGGCCCCTATGAAGCGTCGAAGGCTTTCGAGACGCCGATGGTTGAATATGATTAAAGAGGGTGCCTCTAAACCCCGAACCCTTGAGCCCCAAACACCCAAAACCCTAGCCTAGGGTTTAGAGTATACCCTCAAACCTAGACACCCTGAGCACTTAACCCTAAACCCCAAATCTGGGTATGAGGTTTAGAGCTTTGGGTAACCCTAAAACCCAGACACCCTGAGCCCTAAACCCCAAATCTAGGTGTGAGGTTTAGGGTTTAGGGTTCAGAAACCCCGAAAAACTTGGGATGTTCCCCCTTGTACTAACAGTCCTTACTAGGGAGTATGGTACCCCCTATTCTCATCCCTATTGAGGACTGTTAGTACAAGGGGGAATGTCCCAACCAAAACAACCCTAAACCCTAAACCCTAAACCCGAATCCCTAAACCCCAAACCCCAAACCCTAAACCCTAAACCCTAAACCCTAAAAGCCCTGAACCTTTCACCTCCCCGAACCACGGACGGCCTCCTCGCGGTGGAAAATCCCTGCAGCCAGGGCGGCATCCGCCCCACCGCTGGGGCCCAGCGCGTCCTCCGGTTTAGGGTTTAGGGTTTAGGGTTTAGGGTTTAGGGTTTAGGGTTTAGGGTTTAGGGTTTAGGGTTCAGGGTTCAGGAGGATTTAGGTTTCAGCGTGGGTCCTGAAACCCCCGGCTGACTCTAAACTCTCAACTCCTCCCCGCAAAAAACAAGCAACATCCTGAACTTTCAAACCCTGAACCCTGAACCCTGAACCCTAAACCCGCAACACCTCTCAACCCTAAACCCTCAACCCTAAACCCTCAACCCTAAACCCTCAACCCTAAACCCGCAACCCTGAGCCCTCAACCCTAAAGCCACGCTCCTGAAAGTGCTCGGGGCATCCAGCCCCGCTCGAGGCAATGACGGGGAGCGTGCAGCAGGCTTTGACCTACAAACTTCCACATCTTGTTGGGGGGAGGCCTCTACCTGCGGGGCTTAGGGTTTAGGGTTTAGGGTTTAGGGTTTAGGGTTTAGGGTTTAGGGCTTAGGGTTTTGGGGTCCTGGGGATTTAGGGTTTCAGGGTTGGCGAGTCATTTCTTTTGGAAGTTACTAGCTGCTTCTGGATTGAAGTTGTGATCCTGGCTAGAAACTTGGCTGCACTCAGGAGGGTAGCTATAAATTAAACTTTTAGCTGCCTTAATAAGAAACCCAATAAACCCCAAAAAGGTAAGGATCTAAATTAAAGTTACAGTAGAGTACCACAAAGGAAAGGTTCACCCGAAACCCATAAAGTTGAGCCCCCTCGGCCTGTCTCACGAGTTCGAGCTCGTAGCCGTTGCCCTGGCCGTCCCGGTCGATGCAGTTCCTCCGAGCGTGTGGCTGCAACGCGCTTCGTGGGCAGGGGGTTCGTGGATCAAGGGCGTTTAGGGATCCGGGTTTGTAGGGTCTGTTGGCTTTGTAGGGTGTATGGTGGGGTTTCGCTCTAAACCTTCCAAAAACCGTACCGAAATCCTAGGGTTGAGGGTTTGCAGGTTTATAGGGTTCAGGGTTTAGGACCCTAAGCCCTAAACCCTAACCCCCAAACCCTAGACTCTAAACACTAACCCCTAAACCCTGAACCCCAAACCCTAACAGAGAAGCCCTCCCAGAAAAACCTGAAACCCTAAACCCTAAACCCTAAACCCCAGCAAACCGAAACCCTAAACCCTGAAGACCCAAACCTTCAGCTCAGGCGCAAGAGCAGCTCTCCTGCTCCCAGTGCCTCGACTGCCTTGTGTGAGGTTTAGGGTTTAGGGTATAGGGTTTAGGGTTTAGGGTTTAGGGTTTAGGAGCTTTGGGGCGTTAAAGGGTACTTCTGCAGGGCTTGTTGGGGGGTGTAGGCTTTAGGGTTTGGGCAGTTGCGGGGTTTTGGGGATTTGAGGGCGGTTTTTGAGGGTTCGGGGTTCGTTGGAGGTTCAGGGGATTCCTGGCACCAAGCCACTCGGAAAGGTTCAGGGCTGTGGGTTTCGGGCTTACCTGATCCCTGAGCCCTAAACCCTGAAACCTATGAAACCTGGAAACCCTATGTAAACGCTATAGACCCTATCGACCCTACAATCCCCAGAAACCCTAAGCCCCTAAACCCTAAACCCTAAACCTCAAAGCCCTCAAAACCCTAAACCCCAAACCCTAAACCTTGAACCCTATCAACCCGAATCCCTGAACCGATAAGCCGACCCTCAACCCTAAAGCTAGGGCCCGCAGCTCCACAGCCTACCCCCCCCCATGAGCCCCCCCCCTCCCTTAAGAACGCCATATAAAGCGTACAACAGGGTTTAGGGTTTAGGGTTTAGGGTTTAGGGTTTAGGGTTGAAGTACGAATGCGGAAGTTGCCTGAACTTCAAGAAAGCCCCGGCCTGTGCGAGCTGGACGACGTCCATCTCGCTGTCCTCGCGCCCGCCCTTGACCGTGCAGCAGTACCTTGCTCTGAGAGTTTTGAGTTTCAGGTTTAACCGTTTAACCCGAAAACCCAAACCCTAAACGAGCAAGGGTTGAGGTAGGGCTTCAGTGCTTACAGGGGTTTAGGGCGTGAGATTAAGCGTTCCGGGCCTCTTTGTTATGCCTTGGCCCATGGCCAGTTCGCAGTTGAGGGTTCCTGTATACCCTAAACCCTCTCTTACTATGTATATTTAAACCCTAATGACCTTCGTGACCATGTTGTTTTTTTTTCTGGGCCCTAAACCCTGACCCCCTTCGTGACCAAATTGTTTTTTTTCCTGGGCCGTGCCTCCAAAAACACCCCAAATGAGGGCGACCCCAGGATCGGCCCGGGTCCCAGTTCAAAATGCGATTTTTTAGTACTGAAATCGACGCTTCTGGGTGGGCTCTCGTTTTCTGGATTTTTGATCAAAACCGAGCCTTTGGGCCCTAAACCCTGACCCCCTTCGTGGGCAAATGGTTTTTTTCCACCCGGGGGGGGGCCCTAAACCCTGACCCCCTTCGTGACCAAATGGTTTTTTTCCACCCGGGGGGGCCCTAAACCCTGACCCCCTTCGTGGGCAAATGGTTTTTTTCCACCGGGGGGGGCCCTAAACCCTGACCCCCTTCGTGGGCAAATGGTTTTTTTCCACCCGGGGGGGCCTAAACCCTGACCCCCTTCGTGGGCAGATGGTTTTTTTCCACCCGGGGGGGCCCTAAACCCTGACCCCCTTCGTGGGCAAATGGTTTTTTTCCACCCGGGGGGGCCCTAAACCCTGACCCCCTTCGTGACCAAATGGTTTTTTTCCACCCGGGGGGGCCCTAAACCCTGACCCCCTTCGTGACCAAATGGTTTTTTTCCACCCGGGGGGGCCCTAAACCCTGACCCCCTTCGTGACCAAATGGTTTTTTTCCACCCGGGGGGGCCCTAAACCCTGACCCCCTTCCCTGACCCCCTTCGTGGGCAAATGGTTTTTTTCCACCCGGGGGGGCCCTGGATTTTTGACCAAAACCGAGCTTCACGGCTTCAGGATGTCACGTTCTGTCAAGGTTTTTTCAAAGTTTTTCCGTGTTTTTTAAGTTTTTCCAATGTTTTTCAGGGTGTTTCAGGGTTTTTAACCCTCAATTCTGATGACGGGCCACCCCTGCGACCTTTTTCAGCCTAGTTTTGGTCAAGGGGGGTCTTTCAATTTTAAAGGCAAAATCGTCTGGAGACCCCCCTTGAGAGGGAAAGTTTGCTTCCAAAAACACCCCAAATGAGGGGGGACCCCAGGATCGGCCCGGGTCCCAATTAAAAATGCGATTTTTTAGTACTGAAGTCGACGGTTCTGGGTGGCCTCTCGTTTTCTGGATTTTTGACTCAAACCGAGCTTCCTCCAACTCCGACCCCCCTTAAGAGGGAAAGTTTGCTTCCAAAAAGTTAGATTTTAGGTTTTGGGCGGACTTTTGAGCTATAAGCCTACTGAAAATGTATTGAATGATCTTTGTATTTTCTCAATGTTATGGGTTTCTTGGGTGGGTGGGATTTTTTTCCAATGCTTGACAAGCTGCTCGACTAGTGAATGCTCGGACTTGAGATGCTAAACCCTAAACCCTAAACCCTAAACCCTAAACCCTAAACCCTAAACCTCAAATCCTAAACCTTAAACCCTAAACCCCCGCCCTGTCTGCTGGGTGCCAGGACGCCAAGCGAACTTCTCGCCGTTGGGGCCGAGGGGGGTGGACTTCTCACCCTGACCCACCTGGCCGCCGACTTAAGACCTAGAAACATACTACTACATATCCTCATACGCCCTTATCGAACCTCAAACTGTAAAGCTCTACGCTTAAAAGAAAAAGTCTCGAAACCCTGAAAACCAAGCAAGGGTTTGGGGTTTTTGGGGTTTGGGTGTACCCTTTGTTTGGCTATTTGAGCGTGATAAGGAACCTTACCCAATACCAGGGAAACAAGGCCCATACTGGGCTCAAGACGTCATAGAGGGAATAAGGTACCAAGCCCTAAACCCTAAACCCTAAACCCGAAACCCTAAACCGTAAACTAAACCCTAAACCCTAAACCCGAAATCCCAAACACTCTAGGAACTGCTCCCAGCCTCAACACAGTGGTGCCCTGAGGCAGCGGGATCCGCTGTGTAGACCCGGCGCCTCAAAAGCGGGGAGAGGGTTTGGGGTTTGGGGTTTGGGGTTTAGGGTTTAGGGTATAGGGTTTAGGGTTTAGGGTTTCGGGTGTAGTTCATAGGGTCTAGGTTTTAACGGTTGAGGGCTTAGGGTTTGGGGGCTGAGGGTTCAGGCGCTACTGTAGGGTTTAGGTGCTGAGATTTTAGGGGGGTCTGAGCTTTGGGCCTGGGGTCTATGTGGCCAGAATTCTGAATTGTGATGCCAGTTCCGGCTTCCAATCCTCATTTGCAGCCGCGAAAAGGGACTACTAACCCGAGAAGTGTGGCAGAGGGCTTGGGGATTTTGGTGGACCAGGCCGCTGCCGTCATAGAGACTTTGGGAATACGTACCCGAAACAAGAAACCCGAAACCGTGAATTTTTTTGGGGGAGGGTGGGGGGTTCAGGGCTTTCGGGTATTTGGGGCATTGAGAGTTGATGAGGGTTTTTCGGTTGTTGAGGGCTTTTGGGGTGTACTTGTCGGGTTTAATAGTCTGAACTCAATAACCCTAATCATGGGTTCCCCTACTACCCCCCCCCCCCCCCCGTGTATACCACCGAACCTAGGTGCCGGGTTTAGGGTTTAGGGTTTAGGGTTTAGGGTTCCCTAATTATGGGGGGGGGGGAGCCCAGGGGGGTAGTATAGAGGGGGGTAAGTAAACCCTAAACCCTAAACCCTAAACCCACACAGGCAGGCCGAAGGTACGGGTCCACGCTGACCACCACGGCTTGTCTGCCGTACCTGGGCTGTTGTGACCCTGGAACCTAAAACCTTAAAACCCTAAAACCCTAAAGCCCTAAAGCCCTAAAACCCTGGATACTGGCTCCAAGGGTTGTGAGCTTCGGGGAGGGTTTGGGTTTTGGGGGGTTTGGCGGCCAAGGGGTTTAGGGGGTTGTTTAGGGTTTAGGGTTTTGGGTTTAGGTTCAGGGGGTTAGGCCTCAGGAGCGTGAAGGGTGTTAGGGCTTTTGGGGGTACATGGGACTTAGGGTGTTTATGCATTCGGCTATTCAGGGTGTAGCGTTTTGGGGTTTTAGGGATGCGGGCCTTGAGGATACAAGGCTCGTTGAGAATGCCTGCTGATTCAGGGCTCAGGGTTTGGGGGTTGGGGATGATGGTTTAGGGTCTAGGGTTTAGGGTTTAGGGTTTGGGGTTTCGGGTTTAGGGTTTAGGGTTTAGGAGGTACGGAAGGTGTTTGAGGTGTCTTCGAGGACAGATCCTCGTCCCCGAAAACGGGCTTAGGGGCTTTGGGGGCTTTTGGTTCAGGGGCTTTGAGCAGAAAAATAGCCAGCCAAGTCACTTGGTGCTGATGAGCTCGATAGAGGACGTCCCAGCACCTTTGTTTCCTGCGGCATAGTACCTGAGCTGCAACTCTTATGGGCCCTAAACCCTACACCTCAACCAAAACCCCGGATTTAGGCTATTAGGGGCCCCTAAGGTTTGGGTGCCGGGGCGAAAAATCTTGGGGGTGAGGGCTGCCCATAATCCCGGGCACGCCCTCGCCACGTCCACCGCGTCAGAGCCGATGGAGATCTTGTCAGCGCCTGCACGGAAGTAGACGTCCGCGACTTCCAGGGCGGAGTAGCTCTTGCCTGGGGTTTAGGGTTTAGAGTGTAGGATTTAGGGTTTAGGGCTAGGGTTTAGGGTCTAGGGTTTAGGGTTTTGGGGTTTGGGGCTCAGGGTTTTGGGAAAGGGTTAGGGGTTTGGCAAAACCTCTTGGCCTTTACAGTACAGTGTGGAAGTAGCCTGTGCCCGTGCTTGCTAAGCATCAGCTTGCAGGACGTTTGAGTCACCGCAAACCCTACCCCCTGTCGTCGCACATCTAGTGGCCAGGCTTCACAGGGGCTGACCGAGGGTTTAGGGTTTAGGGTTTAGGGTTTAGGGTTTAGGGTTTAGGGTTTAGGGTTTAGGGTTTAGGGTTTAGGGTTTAGGGTTTAGGGTTTAGGCGTGTTGGCATGCGCATGTTGTGATGGCTACTGTACGTAAGCTGCGAGAAGTGGGCAACCTAGACTGGAGCCAAACCTCTTAGGTACGACGACAGCAGATTAGGGTTTGAGGGGTTTGGGGTAAGCTGCTCACTGCGAACCAAAATGCAATGCCCCAACACCCCTGCCGAGTTTTAGGGATCAGGGAAGAGATTTGCCTTAGCTAGGTCTCTTTTCGGCTCTGGATGAGGGGCGCGGTGGCTCAGAAGTACCTTCGACTCCGACACATAGTAACCAAGATGCAGCTTTTAGCTCAACTTAGTGCTAGTGTTGAGTCGGGATCTTCCATCTGTAGGCCCCAAACCCCGAACCCCCCAACCCAGCAACCCTATGAACCCTCAACCAAAGCTGCCGGCCAACCTTTCTCATCGGTATAGGAGCGGATGCCCCCACCAACAGTCAGCGGGACAAAACAGCGTTCCTGGGAAGCCAGGTTGCGGTTTTCGGGTTTAAAGTTTAGGGTTAGGGTTTAGGGAGGGGACTTAAAGTTTTGGGTTTAGGACTTGTGGGTTTTGCAGTTTCAGGGGTGTGGGGGGGTGTAGGAGGTTTGGGGGGAAGGAAAGGGGGGGGGAGCCATGACCCACATGCGGCCATAACAAGTCCCTAACAAGTCCCTTTTTCTGCCCTGAATCCAAAGTTTGTTTGAGGGTTCTTCAGCAAGCAGTCCTGAGTCCTGAACCCTCGGCTACCTAGTTGATGACACACGCCTCTGGCCCTTCTCCAAAAGTGACCCGAAACCCTAAACCCTAAACCCTAAACCCTAAACCATAAACCTAAACCACAAACCCTAAACCCTAAACCCCAAACCCTGAACCCTAAACCCTAAACCGACGGCCCAGGTTCCGCGGCACACTTGAGAACTTCCAGCATGGGTTGGTCTTCCAGCACCATGTCTCGAAAAGCGGTGATGTTCCTGGGCTCAAGGGTTCAGAGTGTGGGGTTTAGGGTTTGGGGCTTTAGGGCTTTAGGGTTTTGGGGTTTTAGGGTTATAGGGTTTTAGGGTTTTGGGTTTTAGGGTTTTAGGGCTTTAGGGTTTTAGGGTTTTAGGGATTTAGGGTTTTAGGGTTTTAGGGCTTTAGGGTTTTAGGGCTTTAGGGCTTTAGGGTTTTGGGGTTTTAGGGTTATAGGGTTTTAGGGTTTAGAGTTTTGGGGTTTTAGGGTTATAGGGTTTAGGGTTTTAGGGTTTTAGGGCTTTAGGGTTTTAGGGTTTTAGGGATTTAGGGTTTTAGGGTTTTAGGGCTTTAGGGTTTTAGGGCTTTAGGGTTTTAGGGTTTTAGGGTTTTAGGGTTTTAGGGGTTTAGGGTTTTAGGGTTATAGGGTTATAGGGTTATAGGGTTATAGGGTTATAGGGTTTAGGGCTGAGGGTTTTAGGGTTTTAGGGTTGAGGGTTTGGGGGTTTTAGGGTTTGGGGTTCAGGGTTCAGAGCTTGGGGTCTTGGGTTTTAATTTTTGGGGCTCGCCTTCCCCCGAGCTCACAGGGCAGATGTTGGGGTGGTGTACAGCAGGGTGTGGTGTTCTACGGTGCGGGACTTACATAGTTACATCCAGGGCCACACACCTTACCTGAACAACTGAGCAAAAATCTCTGCGCATGCCACAAGTGGGGAGGGGGGGGGATCTGGTTGATTTTTGCAGTCCCCCCAAAAGCGTCAAATCCAAGCCAGGGCTCAGGAAGGAGACCTCATCGGCTCCATCCTGGGTCGAGGATGGAAACTTGGAGGTTCATGGTACTTAGTAGCCCAATGATAGCTGTGCTTATAGCCCAACTCTAGCCCGATTGGGGTACTTTGTGGGCTATAACTACGCTTATACTTGGGTTATAAGTATCCTGAACCTCCAAGCATCGGCACGCTTTAGGTTTAGGGTTTAGGGTTTAGGGTTTAGGGTTTAGGGTTTAGGGTTTAGGGTTTAGGGTTTAGGGTTTAGGGTTTAGGGTTTAGGGTTTAGGGTTTAGGGTGTGCCCAAACAGGTAGGGGCTCCCCACTCAGCACCAATGGGCGGAGTTGCAGCTGAGATAGGGTTTCATGTTTAGGGTTTCAGGGCTTTGGGCTTAGGACGCCAGGGGAGCGCACTGTTGTGGCCCTGTTTTGAGCTACTCTGTAAACTGGAACCAAAACTACGGGCTCATAAGTAAAACCAGAACCTCAACTTGGGATGTTCCCCTTGTACTAACAGTCCTTAAAAGGGATTATCGTACCCCCTTAGTATAACCCCTGCTAAGGACTGTGAGAATGAGGGGGAAACATCCCAAACCTCAACTTTAGCCCTAAGCCCTAAACCCTAAACCCGAAACCTCCAAATTTAGAGCTTTGACATCCCGACCCCTGAACGCAACCCCTGAACCCGAAGCCCCGTACGCCCTATGAACCCTATAAATCCCAAAACCCCTAAAGCCTCAAGAACCCTAAACCCTAACCTTAGACCCCTAAACCCTAAACCCTAAACCCCATAAACCCACAAACCCATATGCCATAAACCCATCGCCGAAAAACCCTCAACCCGAAACCTTAGACTCCTGCCTGGTAGTAGCGCTCCGCCAGGGCCACCGGCTTGCCGTGGTTTCGAACCTGGCCTTTCTCCTTGGCGCGGGTTCGGGGTGTATTGGGTTTAGGGTTTAGGGTTTGGGGTTTAGGGTTTGGGGTTTAGGGTTTGGGGTTTGGGGTTTGGGGTTTGGGGTTTAGGGTTTAGGGTTTAGGGTTCAGCAGCTCCGGGTCGAGCAATCTCTAGTAGAGCCGCTGTTTGGACTCTCGAAAAAACCCACCCACCCAGAGAATCCCGAAACATTAAGAAATAAAAAATTTACATTTTTCATCAGCAAGCCCTGTCCTCCAACCTCACTCATGGACCATCCTACCCACGAACCATTTCATCGGCCCGCAGAGGGGCCGCCACAAAAAGAGCCGGGCGAAGGCCCAAGAGGCTCGGTAGGCCCTAAACCTAAAGCCCAAGGCCAGTGGCGCGGGAAATGGCCCTTAGCCACGAAGAAATGACCCTGATACCGATCATGCCTCCGCTGCATCCAGCGCCTGCTGCAGGTCTGCCCCCACGTCAGGGGCCTGGCAAAGTGCCACGCATAGACCATGCCTGGAGAATGAATCCAACATGCGCGCAGACATCGACTGGGTGCCCGGCAAACCAAGAGCCAATCCAGCTGCACCAAGATGCCTTGCTGCGGTCTACTACCACGGACATACATCAGCAGCGGAAGCATATGGAAACCAACTGAAGCCCGCTCCTGTCGCCTCTCTTCAGCAATGAAATCGAAGACCATCTTGGGGGCCTCTCACACGAACATTCAATGTGGTGTAACATGGCAACTCACTTTGCGTTGGGCATGCGGGGTTCCAGGATGTTCCAGGTTCCCAAGTGAAGCTTCGGAATTTAAGTTGGGGGGTTAAAGGGGCAAGCTCAGTTTGCTGATGTTTGCTGGTGCCCTGCAAAGGGGGCGTATCGGCGCGTCACACGCCAACACTCTGTAGCCACTCGAGGCGCTGCGGCCAAAGGACATAACTTGAGTCATTCGCTTACCTGGGTGTGAAGGGAAGATACAGCTTGTCAAATAGCTAAGAACTTATTGTCCGCCCTTGACATCCACAACCCCAATAAGGCATGGAGAGCCAAGAATCCATCCCGACACAAAAGCGGGTGGCTGCTCGTCTTGCTGACGGGTTTGACTCACTTGCGAGTTGGGCCAAGGCGACCAGGGCGGTTAAGGGTGTCGGTGAGCAGGAGCGACTTGCGCAGAGGTCGAGTCACGCCAGCTACTGTAAAACATACCAGTCTATGGTAGAGCGACGAGTAGAAAAATGTCCGCCATGCCGACCCGATTCACTTTACACTGCGAGAACGGCACTGTCCTCCAGGAGAGGGTTGACACATGTTGACACTCGACTACAAGCCCGCCCAGATTCTCGTTCTACTTAATCTCCTGATTTCTGTCTTACGCTCCCTAACTATAGACGTTAAATACAGGATCTTCACAGGCGCCGTCTTCGAAGCTGTGACGCGACGAGAGTTCTTGGAGGGCATGCGCAGTATGGTAAGGGGAATGCCACAGTGCAGCGCTGCAGGCTATGTTTCACCTCCTACTCGTTCCGGAGGATGGATTGTCTAAACTGCGCTCGGCATCTGCACCGCATCTGCTACGGCCCTGCCCATCTAGAGCAGGGCCACACAGGGCGTGCTGGACAGCTTGGTTGCCCTTTCCAGCTGTTCTGACTCCTATGGGCCTACTGACACTAGCTGTCAAAGAGTTTTGAGTGGGTCTGCCGACCGTGCTTCCCTCGTCTGTTGCCCCAATGAACCTGCAGCTAGCTGCTGCTGCTGGCTGCGAGCTCTGAGTGCACGCGAAAACAACCTGTGGCATCTGTCGTTGCTTCGGTCCGATATAATTTCTGAGGTCTAGACAAAGGCATAGCGGCTTTCCAGACTCAGTCATCGGAGCATCCGAGAAGGCATATTCGTACGACAGACTGTGCGAATCGTGCAAATGCGCAGACGAGAAGCTATTCGAGGTTTTTCTCGTTGCTTCGCCTGTCGGCCTGTCAGCACGTGACAGAGCCGGATGGCCACAACACGCATTTAAAAGACTGCGCCCCTGCCTCTAGCTTTGCACGCAGCTGCCAGTTGGCGAAGCGGTAGTCCTGTTTTTGTCTTTTTTCGCTTCTGTCCGTGACATGTCGTGCTTCAAGGTTTCTTCATTACAGCACCCTTGGAAGTTATCCTTCGGCCGCAGCAGTTTCATCTACAACTGCACGCCACTGCAGAGAAAAAAGGTGAGCGTGGGACTTTGGTGCCTTGAAGCACGAAAAAAGTTTGGGACGGTGCATCACGAGAGCTGGGGTATTGTCCTGCTTGTCCAACTGTCCGGCTGAAGAGGGGGACAAAGAAGCGGCCGCATTGAAAGATTTTAAAGTCGGTGCTTTTCCTTTTCACAGCATTCCTCTCAACCGCTAAATCGACCTTGAAGCGCATCACGCACAAGGTTCCTGAGCTGTGATTGAGTTTCTGGAGGCATGCCCCAAGCGCCGAGTGAGAGTGGGCAAACAATGCGCAAAAACAAAATCAACATACCATCTAACATACCGAAGCAGGCGTGTCGGAGTCGCTGTGGACTGACGGAAAGAAGGTTGTCCAGGGCCTACGCATGAAAACAGAACGCAGATCGGAGAAACGCGAACTGCTGCGAGCCTGCACGGCCCTCCGCTGAGCCTGCAGCTCCTGGAATGCAGGCAGCGGTCTAACAGCTTGCAGGAACAGCTTGAAGATCTTATCGAGCATTCCAAGGACAAATTCAGCTCACCTTACCGCAAAGCCTCGAAACTGCGCCCCTTCGGCAATTTGGCGACTCTATGGCTCGGATGGCCCCCGACTGGTTGCAACACAATGGGCAGAGGGTACACCCGGCCTCGTGCCGGCGGACCTGAGGATACACAGTTGGCCTGGTTGGCCAAACCCCAGAAATTCGGCCCGATGGGCGACTAAACCCCGTCAGGAAAGTTCTCTGCACGGTCTTCGCGCGTCCATATCTGGCTTAAAGCCTTCGCAGATTCGGGGTGGATCCGGCTTCTCATGAATTTCCACCACCAGGCGAAGACACAACTTTGGAAGCTGCATGTAGTACGTCCAGAATGGAAGAGTTCTTGGTGCAGGTGAAGACGGCTCACCAAGAAGAAATGACCCTTAGCCACCAAGAAATGACCCTTAGTCACGAAGGAAATGACCCTTAGCCACGAAGAAATGACCCTTAGCCACGAAGAAATTACCCTTAGCCACGAAGAAATGACCCTTAGCCACAGCCACGAAGGAAATGACCCTTAGCCACGAAGAAATGGCCCTTAGCACCCAGGAAATGGCCCTTAGCGACCAAGAAATGGCCCTTAGCGAAGAAGTTGCCCTTAGCCACGAAGAAATGACCCTTAGCCACGATTGTGTATAGGGTTTAAATATATAAGGTAAGAGAGGTTTAGGGTTTAGGGTTTAGGGTTTAGGGTTTAGGGTTTAGGGTTTAGGGTTTAGGGTTTAGGGTTTAGGGTTTAGGGTTTAGGGTTTAGGGTTTAGGGTTTAGGGTTTAGGGTTTAGGGCCGTGTGCAGATGTTCCGCAGGCTCCCCGAAAAAAAAGCCTAAACCCTGATCCCTAAACCCTGAAACTCTCAAGCCGAAGTACGACGCCTATTTAGGGTCTACAGGGCTTATGTGGGACTTCAAGGTTTGTAGGGCGTTTCTAGGGCTTTGAGGGCTTGTGTACGCCTTTATAGGGTACGAAACCCTAACCCTAAACTCTGACACCCTAAAACCCCAAAGCAAAAACAAGGTTGCAGGGTTTAGGGTTTGAGCCTAGGAGTCTATAGGGTTTTGAAGGGACTAGGGTTAGGGGTCAGGGTCTGGTAATATGTGGGTTTAGGGTGGGCTTAGGGTTTAGGTAACCGGGGGCCAGCCGAAACCCTCAACCCTCAACCCTCAACCCTCAACCCTCAACCCTCAACCCTCAACCCTCAACCCTCAACCCTCAACCCTCAACCCTCAACCCTCAACCCTAAACTCGCCTCGCTCCTTCGGCACAAAGCCTATAACTTCAGACGAGGCTCCCGGACATCGTACCTCGGATGCCCCGAAGCGGGCTCAAGAAAGCGGATGTGGGGGTCCTAACCCTAAACCCTAAATCCTAAACCCTAAACCCTAAATTCTACCCTAAACCCTTAACCCCAAACCCCAAACCCGGAACCCTAAACCCTGAACCCTGCACCCGAAACCCTGAACCCTGAACCCGAAACCCTAAACCCGAATAACCCGAAACCCTAAACAGCTTTCTATGGGTTGCATGAGGTTCTGCAAAAGGGACAGGGACCCACAAAGCTTGAGATCTGAACCCCTCAGCGAAGCCGAAACTCGCGACCCTCAACCCTCAACCGCTTAAACCCGAGGATTTAGGGTTTAGGGTTTAGGGTTTAGGGTTTAGGGTTTAGGGTTTAGGGTCTAGGATGTAGGTTTCGGATCTGGGGTCTAGATGGGTCTTGGGTTCAGGCTTGAAGGTTTAGGGGCTGAGGTTTGTGGCTAGAACTTGGTAATAATTAGGGATTCGTGGCTCTGTGGTCTTGGGGCGGCTGTGCTTCGTGCCTCCCAGGCCTAGGGGTGTAGGGCTTAGGGTTTGACCCTAAACCCTGGGCCCTCATCCTGAGCTCTCAAAGACCAACTCCCAAACCTTGAACATTAGGTGCTTCGGGTTTAGGTTTTCCGTTAAAGCCCCAAACCCAAACTCTGAACCCTGTAGAAGCCCAAAAGTCTGAACCCGAAACGGCTGGAGGCCGAAAGCCCGGGTTTAGTGTTCATAGTGCCGTATACGGTTAAACGGGCCTTTTCCGGGCTTGCGGGACTTACGGGGTCTGATGGGGGCGTTATGGGATTTTATATTATGGTTCGATGGGCCTAAAATAAGGGTTTCACTCGAAACCCTAAACCCTAAACCCTAAACCCTAAACCCTAGACCCTAAACCCTAAACCCTAAACCCTAAACCCTAAACCCTGAACCCTAAACCCTAAACCCTAAACCCTTTCGGGCTTCAGCCGAAGAGGCTGGTCGCCCTTGGTGACCACAAGGTCCCCCGAGTCGTTGGACCGCACGTCCAGGCACGCGATGATCCTGGAAGATTGCTGTGGTTTAGGGTTTAGGGTTTAGGGTTTAGGGTTTAGGGTTTAGGGTTTAGGGTTTAGGGTTTAGGGTTTTCGGGTTTAAGGCTTCAGGGTTTAGGGTTTAGGGTTTGGGGCTCGGGGTTGACGCGGACTTGGAGAGTCAATGCGATCCATATGAGCGAAACAGCTGACGTTTTAATCAGCACCTGTGGTGATGACAGCAGGAAGCAGAGCGCAGGTGACGAATCATCTCCCCTGGGGTAGAGATGATTTTTAGGGTTTAGGGTTTAGGGTTTAGGATTTAGGGTTTAGGATTTAGGATTTAGGGTTTAGCTACACCCTAACCAAGGAATCACAAGAGTTATTTCACTCAACCCGAAACCTGCATTCCTAACCCTCAACCCTAAACCCTGAATCCAACCCAACCCTGAACTGTTCACCACTCAATGCTAAACCCTATACATTTTGTTTCAGTGCTCGTTTTCCATAGTGATGCCCCTCAGCAATTAGCGAAACCCTCCGCCCACTGAACCCTAACCTCTAAAATCCGTAAGAAGCATGACCCAAAACCTGATAAACCCTAAACCCTAAATTAAACCTCAACCCTGAACCCTTCTCCCTGAACCCTAAACCCTAAACCCTAAACCCTAAATCCTAAACCCTAAACCCTAAACCCTAAACCCTAAACCCGAAACCCTAAACCCGAAACCCTAAACCCTCCTCCGCGCCGGAGGCCCGGGTGTGGGCGAGGGTGCCGGCCGCACAGCGGCCTCGCCGCTCGGGCCGCCGCCCTTGAGCCACCTGTCGAGCCTGGGCGAGGGGGGGGGGGGGGGGGGGGGGGGGAGGGCGAGGGGGTTTTGGGTTTAGGGTTTGGGGTTTAGGGTTCAGGGTTTAGGGTTTAGGGTTTGGGGTTTGGGGTTTAGGGTTTGGGGTTTGGGGTTTGGGGTTTAGGGTATAGGGTTTAGTAAATTTAGGATTTAGAGATTAGGGTTTAGGATTTAGGGTTTGGGGCTTTTGGGAAATTTCGGGTTTCGGGTTTCGGGCTTTTGCGTCTTGGGTGTGTTGGGGTGTTAGCTAGGGGTTTGGGTTTGGGGTTCGGGGGTTTGAAGTTCGGGGGTTAGGGGTCGAGGGTGTGTAGGGTTTTGGGGGTGTTGGGTATAGGGGTTTGGGGTGTGAGGGTGGTTCACAAGCATTGGGGCTTAGGATTAGGGGGTTCGGGCTTGGGGCCAGAATTCTAACCCCCTGGAGGCCGCGTAAACCCTAAATCCTGAACCCTGAAGGGCATCCCCCTTGGTGCCTTCGAAGCTCTATGTGTGTGCAGCCCAGATGACCCTCATACAGCCCTGACACCCATTCCTGCAGAGGGCGAGGATTTAGGGCACCACCTGAAGTTTCATAGCCCCGACATCTCTTCCCACCAGCGCAGCTGGGGGGCAGCTGCAGTCCAACCGTCCCACTCTTCCTAAGATCGTCCGCTTTCGAGCTTGAGGGTTTGGGGATTTGGGGTTCGGGCGTTTAGGGGGCATGAGGGCAGAAGGGGCAAGCCTCACAAGGTTCGGAAGGGCGTGGGCTGGCTTCTTGAGTTGTTTTTGGGTTTGGGGTTTAGGGTTTAGGGTTTAGGGTTTAGGGTTTAGGGGTTTGGGGGGCTTAGGGTTTCAGAATTGAGGGCTAGTGGGGGTCCCAGGAGCTTCGCCCGTCTCTGATTTCCCCCTCAAACATTAAGGTTTAGGGATGAATGCTCGATCCTCTGCAGGGTTTAGGGTTTAGGGTTTAGGGTTTAGGGTATAGGGTTTAGGGTTTAGGGTTTAGGGTTTAGGGTTTAGGATTTAGGGTTTAGGGTTTAGGTTGTAAGGGTTGCGTCTGACTTCTTAAAGCGTGAGCTCTCTGGGACCAAAAGCCGCCAAAACCCGAAAGACCAGGGCGCCCTGAAACCCAAAAACCCGAACCGAGGCCGAAGGGGTTTAGGGTTTGGGGTTTAGGGTTTAGGGTTTAGGGTTTAGGGTGTAGGGTGTAGGGTGTAAGGTTTAGGGTTTAGGGTTTAGGGTTTAGGGTTTAGGGCTAGACCCAGGGTAACCTAAGAATCAAAAGGGTGCCCTTTTTGGTTTCAAAAGGCTTATAAGGGAACCTGCACCCTAATATAGGGAATAAGGGCCCAGCCTGGGTCGTAGCTACAAATCCCCCAAGCCCAAACCCCAAAAATCTGTGAAACCCCTACACCCCGTCAGTCCCAAAACGCGCGTGCCAAGGCTCAGAAACCCTGTAGCTCTGGAAAGCCCCAAGCACCAAACCCGAAAATCTTGGGTTTTGGGATTGGTGTTTAGGTGTTATTGGAATCTCCTAAACCCTAACCCTGACAAGCAGTGTTAGGGTGTTGGGCTCGAGTTCTTCAGGATTTGAAATGGCCTGGTGAGGCTCATCAACCCTGAATCCCAACACTGACTCCCAACCCCAAACCCTAAACACTGGGGTTTAGGGTTTAGTTGAGGTTTAGGGTTTAGGGCTTAGGGCTTAGGGCTTCGGGCTGAGGGCTTAGGGCTTGGGGCTTGGGGTTTAGGGTTTAGGGTTTAGGCTTTAGGTTTAGGGCTTAGGGCTTAGGGTTTAGGGCTTAGGGTTTAGGGTTTAAGGCAAGCCCTAAACCCTGAACCCCCCTAAAAAGGGAAGACCAGGAAAGCCAGGCGTCTCGGGGTGAAACTGCGTCGCCACACAGTTGCCTCGCCGCACTGCGCAGACGAAGCGCTCGCCGTACCTCTGGGCGAGGGGGGGGGGGGGGGGGGTTATCAGGGTTAGGGCTTGTGGAGTTTATAGATTCTGGGGTTTTAAGGGCTGTCGGGTTCAGGGTTATAGGGTAGGGTTAGGGCTTCTGGAGTCTGTGGATTCTAGGGTTTTTAGGGTCTAGGGTTATACGGCTTATGGGTTGGGATGTTCCGCCTTATACTAACAGTCCTCAATAGGGATTAGATTAGAGTACCCCATATGATAATCCCTCTCAAGGACTTTTAGTATACCATCCCAACATATGAGGTTTATCGAGGTGCAGGGTTTAGGGTTATAGGGCCATAAGGCTTCGGGCCTTATGAGGTTGAGGGTTCTGGGGTGTAGGGGTTTAGGATGTGGGGGTTCATAAACCCTAAACCCTAAACCCTAAACCCTAAACCCTAAACCCTAAACCCTAAATTTGAAACGGCTTAGGGGCCTTATGGGGCTGAGGGTTGGGGGGGATGCGCAAGTCCGCCAGCGTGAGGTCACGTTCATGTGAGCGCCCAGGATCGAAGGCCTCGTGTTTAGGGTTTAGGGTTTAGGTTTAGGGTTTAGGGTTTAGGGTTTAGGGTTTAGGTTAGCCGGGTCAAAAACATTAGCTCCAGCTGGACGGCGTCCTCGAGCTGCCTGCAACCCGCCCAGAAAGCACGGTACGGCCACACCCTCTCGCTCAAGTTGAAGTCCAGGATGGATTCTCTGATGGCAGCAAACTTCACGCCATTGAACTCTGACACTCCGTCCGAGCAAGGACTGAGAGCGTTGCCTCCAAGACAGAACGCTGCATCCATCGCAGCCTCAAACCTCTTCATTTCGTCAGGAGTCGGCTGCATTCTGCCCGGATTAATTCCAGCAGCTGCTTCTGCTCCAGTGGTCGAGGAAGGGAACTGGCGCGCGTGAGCCAACAAAATTCCGCATGCGCAGAAGCCCGTGAGGATGTGCGGTGAAGACGCCACGCATTTGCACCTGGTGGAACTTCTGGCTGGTCCCTGAAAGCCTAGCCCTAGAAGCCCTAGAGCCCTGAAATCCATAAGCCTAACCCCCGACAACCCCCCCTAACATTCCCTAAAGCACCCTAAAACCCTAACCCCCTATCTTATGTGTATATATATATATTGATATCATAACAAGAAGAAGAAGAAAGAAGAAGAAAGAAGAAGAAAGAAGAAGAGTAGCAAGAATAACTATAAGAAAAAACAAGAAGAATATTCACAACAATAACAGTATGAATATCAACCATGATAAGAACAATAACAATAAATCATGATCATAAAAAGAATCATCAGAATGGCAATGAGAATAAAAAAATAAAAAAAAATGACAAAACTACCGACCTTCAAGCCCCAAATCCCTCAAAGCCCCAGGAATACTCACCATAATCATTTCAAAAAAAAGGAAAATCGAAACCTAAGACCCCAAAGCCCCAAATCCCTCAAAGCCTGAAGACCCCACTTTGCCCTCAGAGGTGCTCGGAGCAAGCCAGGGCCCAGGGGGCATGGCCCGACTCGGGCATGGGCACGCGGTAGGAGTGGACGAAGTAACCTAGCGCTTCGTGGTTTAGGGTTTAGGGTTTAGGGTTTAGGGTTTAAGAAGAAACCGACTCATTTCAGGTCAGATATACCAGAGAGTGGGTGTTTTTAAGGTAGTAGGGTTTCAGGCCAAAGCAAATTCGGGAAAAAGGCTTTCCAGAATGTGCCTGCGTCCTAGGGCTTTGTGGCTTGATGGGCCTTGTAGGCTTTGTGGGTTTTTTTTGGCCTCGGGTCTCATATGGGGTTTGGAATATAGACTTTTCGGGTTTGTAGGGGTTTGGGGTTACAGAGCTTAGGGCCAGAGCTTAGGCTTTGGGCTTCGGGGGCGGGTTTAGGGTTTAGGGTTTTAGGATTTAGGGAATTTAGGGTTCAGGGTTTCGGGGGCTTTGGGGTATAGGGTTGGGAGCATAGGCTCTGTTTCTGCCCCTTCATGTGCAGATTTCCTCCTCACCCCCACCCACCCCCTAAAAAACAAAACAAAGTGGGAGATTGAAGGCAAGGTACATCAACGTTCCATCCGCAGGCTGTTTTGGGGAAACTCTACCCGAGGGATGTCGGGTCTAGAAGCGTCACCGGGCTTACACGGGGTGTGCCAGCTGGCGAAAGGAACTTGAAACCGATTGTGAGGCGGTCGCGGCCCTTTCAGGCGGTGGGGGGGGAGTGGGGTGGAGCAGGGAGTTGCTCCAAATTCTAGCTCCTCTTTGGCACTTACAGGGCTTCGGGGTGCTACCCCTAAACCCTAAACCCTAAACTCTAAACCCTAAACCCTAAACCCTAAACCCTCAACCCTCAACCCTAAACCCTGCCAAGCGTCAGCGCGGTTGGTCCGCCTCCAGCGGCCATGGATCTGCCAGCATCGGAGCAACGCCACTCCAGTTGATGTTGGGCACCGCAAGGCCTGTCCAAAAGAGGCGTGCTTTTTTTGGGGCAATTCAGGCCCAAGCCCTAAACCCTAAACCCTAAACCCTATAAGCCCGAAACCCTATAAAGCCCTAAACCCTATAAAGCCCGCCTAAACCCTCAACCCCAAACCGAGAGGAGAGCCGCTCTCGCTTAGCTAGTGGCTAGCCGAAAAGGGAACCTGCCACCTAAACGCAAGGCTCAGGGTTTAGGGTTTAGGTTTAGGGTTTAGGGATTAGGGTTTAGGAAGCCCCAAACCCTAAACCCTAAACCCCAAAGCTCCGAAAGCCTCCCTTAAGGGGTGATAAGGATAGCCCCTAAATAACCCCCAATAACCTCTAAGCTCTAAGGTCCGTTGTCAGGGGTCCTTTGTTTAGTCCCCCTCCCCCCCGCCCCCTGCCTACCAAGCTGACGGAACCCTTTGATTTCGAGTAATTAAACCCCTTACCCCGAATACTAAATACTCCCCACATACTAGAACATCAAGTAAAACTTGAACCCGCACCCTAAACCCGTTTGACATTAGGGTAGGAGGGTGAGGGGGTTAAAAGTAGGTGGAAGGATTAAGGCTTAAGGGTTTGCGGGTCCATCTTAGGGTAGTTTGGCCCTTAAAAAGGGGACCCCTTTTTTACCCCTCTAGACCCAGGAGTAACCTGGGAATAAAAAAGGGTACCCTTTTGGGAAGGGGGGACTATAAAGGAACCCCATCCCCAGAAAAGAAAATAAGGGCCTACACCCTAAACCCTAAACCCTAAACCCTGAACCCCAAACCCTCATCACATGATCCCATGAAAATACCCGTAGAGTCCCGCAAGCACCCAACCCAGCCTAGTGAGGCCGGAAATCTCTGAACCTTCCCCGGCAGAATGCCCAGTCCGGCCATGCCAGGATTCCTTGGCGGGTTTAGGGTTTAGGGTTTAGGGTTTGGGGTTTGGGGTTTGGGGTTTAGGGTTTAGGGTTTAGGGTTTGGGGTTTAGGGAGGTTCGTCCCCCTCAAGCCCCCAAAGCCTTCACCCTAAACCCCTTAACCCTAGACCCCAAACAGACAAAGGAGAAACGCCATTGCCCAAGAATACCTCGAGGGTCTCCTCGCTCCCTTCGAAGAGCGTCTGCATGCCCAGGCAAATGCCAAAGAAGGGCCTATCCTGGAACTGACCGCGTGTTACTGTTTAGCGCGTAGGGCTTTAAACCTAAACCCCGCCTAAACCCTAAACCCTAAACCTTAAACCTTAAACCCTAAACCTCAAACCCTAAACCCCCTAAACCCTGAACCCTAACCCTAAACCCTAAATTAGGTAGGGTTTGCGGGCTTAGGGCCGTTCCTCGGGTGGGTTTAGGGTTTATGGTTTGGGGGGGGGGGGGGTTTGGGGTTTAGGGTTAGGGGTTTAAAAAAGAGGGTGTAGGAATTTTAACCAATTCGACTGTACCTATAACCATGTTGGGAACTTAAGGGGCTTGTAAGTGGGTTATAAGTACAGTTACAATTGGTTAAAGTACCATGAACCTCCAAGTAGGGGTTTTTTCGGTTACGGTTGTAGGCTTTACACAGGTGTTGTCTAGTGTCTTTAGGGCCTTTCGGGTTTGGGGTTTCAGGGTTTGGGGGTTGAGGGTTTAAGTTTTAGGGTCTAGGGTTTAGGGGTCGACTTGGAGGATCGGCTGGTCTAGCAGAAGTGGAATGGGGGGGTGGGGTGGGGGCGGGGTGGGGTGGCTGAGCTGATACGGTGCGCGCCCCAAACTCGAATGCACAAGCATAATGCCCGCGAGCATCCACTGATGCAGACCCCAAACCCTAAACCTAAACCCTACCCTAAACCCTACAACCTACCCCCAAGCATCCTAAACCCTAATTCATTCCTGATCCCTGTACCCGCCAACCCTAAACCCTAAACCCTAAACCCTAAACCCTAAGCCCTAAGCCCTAAACGCTAAACCCTAAACCCTAAACCCTAAACCCTAAACCCTAAACCCCAAACCCTAAACCCTAAACCCTAAACCCTACGCAGTCCTCCTGGAGGTACTTCTTCAGCGGCTCGAAAAAGCCGTGCTTCTGAAGCGCCTCCACGCAGGAGCCGAACGCACCCACGCCAGGGAAGACGATGCACTTGGCCGCCTGCCGGTTTAGGGTTTAGGGGGTTTAGGGTTTAGGGTTTAGGGTTTAGGGTTTAGGGTTTAGGGTTTAGGGTTTAGGGTTTAGGGTTTAGGGTTTAGGGTTTAGGGTTTAGGGTTTAGGGTTTAGGGTTTAGGGTTTAGGGTTTAGGGTTTGAGGGCTTCGGGCTCATGATATAAGCACTCGAGGTTTAGGGTTCAAGGCTAGGGTTTCAGGGCTTCAGGGTTTAGGGGTGTTTGAAACGCTAAATCAAGAACCCTAAACCCTGTGCCCTGAGTACTACAGCCACGAGTATCATGAAACCGCAGCCAGCCCAACGTCTTTGCAAGGCCCATAAGGTTTGGTTGGGGTTTAGGGGCTTGGGGGCTTGGGGGCTTGGGGGCTTAGGGTTTGGGGTTAGGGTTTAGGGCTTAGGGCTTAGGGGGTAGCCCGAAACTTCTGTGAACTTGGAGCAAGATGTCGCTGAGCATAGGTCCTTCGACCCTCAACACCTCAGGGGCGCCACGTAAGCGCTACGTGCCTTAAGCCCGAGTGGAGCTGTTTCATGAGTAGTCCTGCCGTAGGGCAACTAGAGCTAGTTCTGAATGGGGTACTTACAACCCTAAACCCTCAACCCGAAACCCTATAACCCTGCATACGGCCGAGTTCCACCCAGTACAGTACCCCACCCTGAACCCTGAACCACGCGCATTCTAAGCCCTAAGCCCTAAACCCCTAAACCGCTAAACCCCTAAACCCCTAAACCCTAAACCCTAAACCCTAAACCCCAAACCCTAAACCCTGAACCCTGAACCCTAAACCCTAACCCTGAGCCCGATGTGCTCCAGTCGAGCGGGTTCAGGGCTTCCGACAAGTGGGCAGCCGCTCAGCCGGATTCCGACCCAAGATGAGGCTGCAACCATTTAGGCATTTGTTTTAGGGTTTAGGGTTTAGGGTTTAGGGTTTAGGGTTTAGGGCTTAGTCCAACTTGTTGGAATAATAACATTTGAACTCCATGCCGGCGCTCATGTTGTCCTCATGAAGGGCACTTACACGGCTTAACAGGGTTTACAGCGTTTACAGGTGCAGAGATGCTTTCATTGCTTACCCTAAACCCTAAACCCGAAACCCTAAACCTAAGCCCTAAAGGTGTAGAGATGTCAGCATCTAGGGGGGCTTAGGGTTCAAAGTTCGAAGTCCCCGGCCTCGATGTCACTGGGGCTTTGCACCGGCCGCACCTGGTCAGGGTTTAGGGTTTGGGGTTTGGGGTTTGGGGTTTGGGGTTTGGGGTTTGGGGTTTGGGGTTTAGGGTTTAGGGTTTAGGGTTTAGGGTTTAGCGCAAACCTACTTTTATGTTTTCGACGTTCGGGGCTTGGGGTTTAGGGTTTTTCCAACCAAGTCTCACTTCAGGGCCTTGTCTTGAGGAGGGGCAGAAGACAAGGTGGGGCATGTAAATAGGCTCCTAGACCCAGGAGTAACCTAGGAATAAGAAGGGTGCCCTTTTGGCTTTAAGGGGATACTAAGGGAACTCCAACTTTATACCCTAAACCCTAAACCCTAAACCCTAAACCCTAAACCCTAAACCCTTTAAAAGGGAATAAGGGCCTACTCCGGGTCCCATGGATCCCTCCAGGGTCGGCGCCGTGTAGCCCAACTTTTGGACAGCATTGAAGACGCTCTTCACGTTCCTGGGCGGTTGCGAGCCCAGCTGCCCAAAAACACAGAAGCTTGCTGGTTCTTAGTGGGGAATGAGGGAATGAGGTACCCTATATCCTGTCTATACATATATATATATACACCCTGAACCCTGAACCCTGAACCCTGAACCCTGAACCCTGAACCCTGAACCCTGAACCCTGAACCCTGAACCCTGAACCCTGAACCCTGAACCCTAAACCCTAAACCCTAAACCCTAAACCCTAAACCCATCAAAGGCAGCCTCGGCACCCAGCCCCGTAGTCCAAAATCGTCACCTCCATGGCCGGCCAGGGGAGGAAGCCTCCCTTCGAAGAGCCAAGACTGCCAATCGCGCTTCTGGCCCTAAACCCTAAACCCTAAACCCTACACCCTAAACCCTAAACCCTAAACCCTAAACCCTAAACCCTAAACCCTAAACCCTAAACCCTAAACCCTAAACCCGAAACCGATCCCAGGGAGCCCCTGCCTAAACCCTACACCCGAATTCTGTCGGATCCGGCTCGGGGGAACCCTGAGTCCCAATCTACCGCTTAGGGGCTAGGGTCTACAGGGAGCTTTAGGGCTCAGGGGCTGGGGGTTTAGGGTTTAGGGTTTAGGGTTTAGGATTTAGGGTTTAGGGTTTAGGGTTTTGTGGTTTAGGAAACCTTCTGAACCCTAAACCCCAAACCCTAACCCTAAACCCCAAACTCCAAGCCCAAAATCCCCCACCCCGGAAAGCCTCAGCTCTGAACCCTCAACCCTACTCTAGGTCCCTGAATCCTGAACCCTAGTGTCCCTAGACCCTAGACCCTAAACCCTGAACTAAACCTAAACCCTAAACCCTAAACCCTAAACCCTAAAACCTAAACCCCTACACCCTAAACCCTAAACCCCTAACCCTAAAACCTAAACCCCTACACCCTAAACCCTAAATCCTAAACCCTAAACCCTAAACCCTAAACCCTAAACCCTAAACCCTGGAGCTGTGTTTTGAGGCCGGGGGCTGATGCGCTAGCTCTGGCGGCCCGGGCGGTGGCTCGTCCGAAAGTGCCTGAGGCTTCGTGCATCGGGCCGCGGGAGCTCACAAGGATCTTCAGGATCTCGAAGGGAGGGTTTAGGGTTTAGGGTTTAGGGTTTAGGGTTTAGGGTTTAGGGTTTCGGGTTTCGGGTTTCGGGTTTAGGGTTTAGGGTTTAGGGTTTAGGGTTTAGGGTTTAGGGTTTAGGGTTTAGGGTTTAGGGTTTAGGGTTTAGGGTTTAGGGTTTTTTGCATCAAGGGACTCTGCCTTGGACCCCTAAGGTGGTACCCTTGGGTTTGGGGACCCTTTATCAAGATTCCCAAGGACATGTAAGGGCCATATTCCTAGTTCATGGCTGGGATCATATTAAGTTGTTAAATTCACATTCCTTTATTGGGTTCAAGTACCCTTCAAAATTTAGAACGATACCCCACTATGACCAAGATTAGGAGTCGGGACTTTTGGCAAGGTTTGAGGGGAGGCCAGGGCCCTGGGTTTGGGCTCAAGACCCCGAACCCTAAACCACACTGAAAGATTCCGGGGGCCTCCCAGATTTAAGGGGGTTCTATGAGGGAGTAGCAACCTGCATTAAAAAAAGAAAAGGTGGGGCGTGATGTCGTTGTCCTTCTGGAGCCTCTCGATGACGGACTCGAGCTCCTGGCAGCCGTGGATCCACAGCTGTGTATCGTTCTCGCGGTCCGAGACCTCCATGTCCAGGGCCTCCGAAAGCATGGCCTGCAAGATTTTTCTGCCATCCATTCGCCGCGTCTTTGCCGGGTCATTATTGTACGGCTTCTCGTAGGGCCTGCCAGATTTGTTGGACATCTTCTCGTCCTGACCGGAGAGCAGCTTGGAGGCTGAAGCTGAAGAAGTCTAGCCTGAATGAATTTAGGGTGAAGGGTTAAGGGTTTAGGGTTTAGGAATTCAACTGATACACACAAGCCAGGGGGTGACCGCATTTCAGGATGACAGGGCCTGCTTGGAGTTTCAGGGGTACCCTCCAGGAATTTAGGGTACATGACCCCCAAACCCTAAAACCTAAACCCTAAACACTAAGCCCTAAGCCCTAAGTATGAATTGCGACAGCCCCTGCCAGCCGGCATTCTTTGCATCCGATGATCCACTTATGACCCTCAAAATCTTGCCTGTATTCTGCGAACCTTTGTCATGTAATACATAAACTTACCTACGACTTCACAAAATTACTGTATCATGCGAACTTTGTCTCATGTAATCATAATGACCTTAACAGCAACCCGGCTGAATCCTGAGGTGGGAACAACAAGAGGCTCATATGCACCTCCGGGCACATGGTTGAGACCACCGACAGCATGCGCTCGGGCTTTGGGGGAAGGAGTCGGAGTGTGCTTCGAGCTTCAGGGTAAAGGAGGGTTTAGGGTTTAGGGCATAGGCATAGGGTTTAGAGTTTAGGATTAGTCGAGTATTTCGTGTGACTTGTTGGCTGGTTGTACTTGGGGATATACGGGTGTTGCCCAACATAAGGATACCCTCATGCATCATAGGAAACATCCACGAACCCTAAACCCTAAAACCTAAACCCTAAAACCTAAACCCTAAACCCTAAAACCTAAACCCTAAACCTAGCCTTGGATTTTTCGGCTGATTAAGGGCGTCGCCGAAAGCCTCGGGGTGGAGACACGTTTCTTGCCCCTGTTCTTGTTGGGCCCCTTTGTGTTACCTGCTTTCCTGGCTTTGTTTACGGGGCAGCGTTGCTGCAAGAGTAGCAAGTTGCAACATGTCTAAACTGAAACCCTAAACCTTAAACCCTGAACCCTAAACCCTAAACCCTGAACCCTAATCCCTGATACTGTACATTACGACACTTCTTCCTGTTGGAGGGCTCCAAAGCCTTGCTGGCCCTCAAGCTGACAGGCTGAGGGTTTCGGGGTTAGGGTTTAGGGTTTAGGGTCTAGGGTCTAGGGCTTCGGGTTTAGGTTACATAGAATTGTGTGGTGCAGGCATCCAGCTTAGGGCTTTATTAGGGAGTATCAGTGAGGTTCTAGGGTTTAGGGCCTAGGGTTTAGGGTCTAAAGGGTTTAGGGTTTGGAGGTTAGGGTTCGGGCTTCAGTCACCTGTAAACAATGGCAAAAGCGCTGTCATCCCCAGGCTTACAAATCCTCTTGCCCAAGAAGAATTGTTGAACCTGGTTCAGTACTAAAGGTTTAGGGTTTAGGGTTTAGGGTTTAGGGTTTAGGGTTTAGGGTTTAGGGTTTAGGGTTTAGGGTTTAGGGTTTAGGGTTTAGGGTTTAGGGTAGGCTGACCGCAAGCCAGAACCGACGAGGGTAGTATCTGGACCTCACGTCATCTGGCAGCGCTGGACTGCCGAGACGATGTCCGGGAGGTGGAAATCCTAAACCCTAAACCCTAAACCCTGAACCCTAAACCCTGCAGCGCGCCAAGCACGGCCGTAAGTATCTTGGCCTTGGCTCCGATTGGCCCCCACTGCATCCTCTGCCTTCCAATCCCTAAACCCTAAACCCTAAACCCTAAACCCTAAACCACAAACCCTAAACCCTAAACCCTAAACCCTAAACCCGAAACCCGAAACCCTAAACCCTGCACCACGTCGGCCACGCCCACGGCTTTCTCCTCGGTGAGGGCTATGCCAGGGCCCGCACCCGCCGTGAGCTTCTCCACCAGCTTCTTCCGGCTTTAGGGATTACCAGTGTTTTCTTGAGTTCCTTCAGCAAGACCTTTCCGGTGAAGTGAAGGGGCAATGCCCAACATATACTCCCCCAAATCCCAAACCATAAGCCCGAAAACCTAAACCCGAAATCCAGCTCTAAATCCTACTCCACCCTCCCCATGGGGAGCTTAGGGACTTCAGATTCGAGGGCTTAAGGCTTGAAACCCAAGGGTTTAGGGTTTAGGGTTTAGGGTTTAGGGTTTAGGGTTTAGGGTTTAGGGTTTAGGGTTTAGGGTTTAGGGTTTAGGTTTAGGACGAGTGTCCCTACGCCCCAACAGCCTGCCGGCCGGAAGCAGCCACTGCCCATCCTCGCGCGACCCGCGGGAGCGCAGGGGCCCCAGGGTTTCTGAGTTTAGTGCTTAGGGTTTAGGGTTTCGGGTTTGGGGTTTAATAGTGGTTTTAGGAGCTTAGGATTTGAGGGCTTTGGTGTTTTGGGATTTAAGGGTCTTAGGGGTTTTGGGGTCTTGAGGGTTCTAGGGTTCTGGGGTTTAGGGTTTCAGGGTGCGGGGTTTTGGGGTTTAGGGTTTTTGGGAGTTTAGGGCCGTACGAGTAGGGCTTTAGGGCTTTTGGGGTTTTAGGGTTTTAGGGTTTTCGGGTCTTAAGGCTTGGGAGTTTCAGGGTTTTGGGGTTTTAAAATTTGGGGTCTATGGTTTTGCGGTTTTAGAGCTTTACAGCTGGCTTTAGGGCTGTAGTGGTTTACGGTGTGGGGTTTAGGGTTTAGGGTTTTGGGGGTTCTGGGATTAGGCTCGTACTGGTGGGGCTTTAGGGCTTTGGGGGTTCTAGGGTCTTGGGGTTTCAGGGTTTTGGTTTCGTGTTTAGGGTTCAGGCGTGAGGGTTTATGGAGTTACGATGTGGGACATGGGCAGTTCTCGACACTTGGGTCCCTGTTGTGGGTCCTAAATATAGTACGGGGCACCTGGTCAGAGAGAACTGCCCGCATCCCAAACCCTGAAAGCCCAAACCACAAACGCTTCAGGGTTTAGCGTTTAGGGTTTCGGGTGAGTTTAGTGGGCTAGAGGGGTTTGGTTATAGGGGTTTTAGGGGGGTCAGGGTGAAGGGTTTAGGTCAAAACCCTTGCAAACCTTAAGCACCCGAGCTTCTGTTTGCATGAGGGTATTAGTAGGCATGTTGGTGTATCCTTCTTCCAGGGCTTAGGGGGGCACAAAAACCCACCCCTGAACTCTCCATCTGTACGCACACCCCTCAACCCCCTCGCCCCTAAACCCTAAACCCTAAACCCTAAACCCTAAACCCTAAACCCTTAACCCTAAACCCTAAACCCTAACTCCGCTCCTCTAGTAGCGACTCCCCAGCAGCATCGCGGAACGGACGGCGGAAGGGTCGAAAATAATTGGTTCGATGAGGAGAGGCTTAGGGTCTGCGTCATAGGAGCTCGAAGGATAGAGGGTTTAGGGTTTAGGGTTTAGGGTTTAGGGTTTAGAGTGTAAGCATAGTCTTGAGCTGTGGCCTGGGCACTCAGAGGATATGGCTGCGGGGCTGCGGCCCTGATGTCCTTCAAGCCTTAAGGAGCAAAAATATTGGGCCTTGTCACCACCTTCTGACGAACACACTTTTGTAG